TGACAATACCAAAGCCACACAACATCAAACACCATTGTCTTAACTGACAATACCAAAGCCACACAACATCAAACACCATTGTCTTCACTGAAAATACCAAAGCCACACAACATCCAACACTAATAGCCTTCACTGACAATACCAATTTCAGTTATTTTGTAACACATGTTTTATAGTTTTCATATCAGGTGCACAGTTGATTATTTTTATATTATATCCATCAAGATCATCATGGAGACGCAGCAAGCCAAACAAACCCTAGAAGATATTGAAGCTCGGCACAATGATATTATTAAGTTAGAAAGCAGCATTCGAGAGCTTCGTGACATGTTCTTGGACATGGCCATGTTAATTGAAAATCAGGTAGAGAATGATAATTTTTCCAATTTTCCTCTTTCAGAACTCCACATGTGCATTTAAAAAAATGCATTGATTAACTAATTTTACTTAAAAAATCCATTATTAATTGGTACCAGTCATTAGCCAATTTAATGTACGAATAAAAGTGTATCTACATTGGGCAAATTTAACCATATTTTATGTAAATTTTTTATTCTATGGTATTCCGCATAGAACGCAATGGCTCTGTATAAAATACTGAGTCCATATACACACTTTCGCTCATTAAGTATTTATAGTATAACTTTTAATACAGTATGTGTGTCTTCACAAAATTTGGTACACTTTTGGGAAACATTAGTCTTTTGTACACAAAAAATCTGATCTTTTAATGAAGTATTTTTACTGAAAATTTGTTTGTGAATATATCGTGACTGTTTCATTACTAGTCCGAGTACAAGGTGATTTTCATGTTATGATTAAACATACTATTCGTCATCCCAAAAATCTCAATTTTCATTTGCATAATTTCTAAACCCTCCTAATTACATTTCAAATATTTATTTTCAATAAAACTTTATATTTTTTCTGTTATTTTCTCCACCCTAACTGTGTACAAGGTTGGTAATTTGACTGACCTTGTAACCACCAAAAAAAATTTAAATAAATCTAAATTACCCTTTTTCTTTCTAGAATGTCTTCAAATTGTAACATGAAACTATATTTCTTTATTGAAAGTAGCTTTAAACTCATAACAATATACAACTATTTATACTTAAAATTTTTGTTTTATTGCCCTTTGAACTGTGTCTAACTACTATTCGCAATGTTATAAGTTGTAAATCACGTGGGGAACGTGGGGCTCAAATTATGCTATCAAATTACATTACCAACAAGCTACTCTGAGTTGCTCATGTGTATACCTCATGAAAATTTTTTTATTATATTATTATTATTTATTTTACCTAAACTAACCTTAACTAATGTAAAGAGATTCCTATTTTTACATTTTAGTTGCTTTTATAATAATAAGTATTTATCTGGACTTTTTTTTTTATTTTGCTGTAAACTGTCGATGACACATAACTCTACTTTTTTTATACTAATGGTAGTGGTGCACTAAGTGCATTTTTGTTTAATTAAATAATGCACCAAAGAACATAGAATAATAACATGCAAAAAGCAGACAATGTCCCATAACTATCACAGTTTTTCTGGCATTCTAACTATG